GAGTAAGATGGCCCCAACATTATGTCGCTACAATTTTCTATTAATAATAATCTACTATTTGGAATATTAATTATAACTTCTTCCTCATCGTACACACATGCATTATTAAGCTCATGTTATACGTTATAAAACTCAACGTATCTTATGTACCCTTACACTTATGCGTATAATTTTTGTTTAAAATGTAAAGACAATACCGCTTTCCTTCTATTTCTTGCTATTATTTTATGTAACCTCACGGACGGGCGCAAACCAAATGTACAGCACACACCAATTTCATCTTAATTTTGTATAAGCCATTTTTCTACCCTATTCAGTCTATTATTTTTTTTATGCAAACACAGACATTTTCCATATATCTTTGTTTGCAGGGGGGAGCTATTATAGCGACTCACGTGCAAATGGGTTTATTTTCATTTAACCCAGTTAAGCCCTTTTTGTTAACTTATTTAGCGGACAAAGCCATCCGCGCTATAACAATTTATTGTATCCTTATTATTATTTTGCGCTTGTATGAAGTACGTATGCTTGAATATTGATTACTGCCTACGCATTTATTCACTCTGCTAATCTTACCACTAACCGCTTATTCGATTCGATTACTCATTCATTTCACATGGTGTATATATGTCCATGTTATTCATATTGAACTCAATCGCTCACTCGCTCGCACGGTCTCGTCACGCTCTTGCTCTGGCTCTCGCTCGCTTGCTTGCCTTTCGGCACAACTCTTCTATGCTTGTTTAACACATCTGTACATTTGGATATATGTGTGTGGTTTCGCAATAAACGTAATCGACACTTCGTATTTGCCTTATGATTAATATACCGTTGGTACGTTATATAGAACGGTTATCGCGACGAACTGTATACGAAGTTTAAGGATTATATCAAATACCGACCACCACAATCCACACTGTGGTAGTTTGTCATGATATCCAGCTCTTAGTGAAACTATCTCAGATAGAGATAGGCGCTATTATTCACTCTCGATCCAGGAGAATGGACCTATATGCAGAACACTCCAGAGAACAGTTCGACTGACCTTTAGCCACACTTCAGTTACCCATCATATTCAAGCATCCTGAATGAAAATTGATGTAAGTTGAAAAGGCTATGGGCAATCTCAAGGAAGAGAGAGATGAAGGCCTGATGGACTAACCACTGGGATTTTAATGATGATGGTCCAGTTAAGGGAATCAGGCTAACTGAAGTCTTAGCTAGAATGTGGAAACTGGACGTAATGACATCTGACTGGTTACAATTGCTGATCGTTCCAATCTATAAGAAAGGACAAAAATCGTCTTGTGACAATCACAGAGGAATGAGTTTAACCGATATATTGTCTAAAATGTTAGCCTCAATCCTGCCATAAATAATGCTAGAACAAAATAACACATTTCTTGATATCGTTTGTGAAGTTCTTACTACATCAAACACAGTAATTTTCTAGTTTACTACTCTGTACATTTCACGATTTTGATTCAATATTGTGTTATATAAATGAAATTCCATCCAAACCATTATGCAAAGTACTAACAGATGGAGTCGTGATTGCACACTACTGAGTCTCACACTAGAACACAAAAAACTGAACAATACTTCTTGGTATTCGATGTTTATTTGATTAACGTCAATTTGTGACGTAGACCATAAAACTGAACTATTCCCATAACCTCATGTTCTTCATATTTACACAAGCTGTTTAATTTATGGAAAAACATAATAAAAATAAAATTTATTCCTGTTTTCAAAAATAATACTCCGCGCCTTTATAAATGGGATCTATGAATAAATTTCAGGACTCCAAGTAGTGAGTCTTGCTGAACAACTCAGTAGGCCGGAGAAAAAGCGAATAAAATTGTTTCATTTCACAGTTAACTTCGTGTTGTGACCTTAAGTCCGGCTAATTATCACGTGACTTATTCGCCAATCGGAATACGACTTATACAACTTTAGCACTGTTTCAAACCAATGACGTCTGATCGGTATGAACAGCTCAGCGTAGTCACTGGTCCCTTTTCCTTCTAGCCTTGCCAGTTGAGTGCAGAACACCGATAACAGCTTCCACTATGCGAATCATTCATTTCAAACAAACTTGGTTTATATACAAACCAAACATACTTCATCACACCCCGAAATAGGAAATAACATTGATGCAAGATCTGGTCAGAAAGTGGCTGTGATTGTGGGAGACGGTAATTAATAAACTGAACATAATTTTAAGAACGGTAAATCGTATAATGATTGTCTATAAGTCAAAATGAGGCTTATAATAAAAGGAATATAGATATACTCAATCTAGTTACTGAATAGTTATGCAATAAGGATATATATACAATATTAGTTCATTAATAGTTCTCAGAAGTTACTCGTAATTTAATCTTCACTAGGATATAACAATTATATATTTTTTCATGTCATATTTTATGCAAACAGCTTGGAAAGGTTTTTATTTTCTCTGTGTAGAAGACGATAACTGTTCAGTTTGTGCTAGTATACCGTGCTTTGACATTGTCATGTATCAACAAATTAGGTCCCTATAAAGAGCGAGCTACACCAGGTAGCTTGAATTTTTGAAGAAATCAACCCATTACAATAATACCTCGAATATCGAACAAACGTATCTTGTATGTTTTTTTAATGTCTGTTGACTTTGGAACTATTCATTGTGACTACTGAATAAATAAAAGTAAGCATACGTTTTCTATAAAATATTTCGAACTCTCGATCGAAAGCTTCAAGTGCATGAAAATTTGGAATGGATTCCTCTTCCTTTAAATGAGAGTTTCATTCAAGATTGACATGTATCAGCGTCTAAATTATTTATAAGGCATGAAGTGGGAGATATTGCTGACTACTCAGCTCATCTTGGAAGTCTTCAACTAGATGCTTAGTTTCAATATTATATGATACGTTTTCTTTTACGAATTCATTTTGCCTTTCAAAACTAAATTCCCTATATCTAGTCTTTTTTAAACTCCGCCTGGAGTCCCTCCGGAGGCTACTGCTGGTCCCAAGCCCGGATAAAGGAGGAGGGTTGGGCATGGGGTTAGCGACTTCATCCCGTAGAAAACTAACCCGCTAAAAAAACGCTAACCAGAAAAAAAGTAAGTCTGTTTCTAAGTCATTACTATCATTATTGTTCTGGTTAATTTTATCTAGTTGTGATATCATTAGGCAACTTCGATAGATGCTTATTTTGTTCAAGTCTTCGTTGATCATTACCGGACTCGTTACCAGTGTATAAGCAAGACTCTAAACACAACTGAGCTTGGTACCTTCTAGTTACGTATTGAGGATGTCAAACTAAACGTAATTTTAGCTTAGACCCTATTAGTTAATTCAAAAACAATAAATTTGTACATTTCCATCTACTGATTAACAATTAATCAAATTAGAGTATACTATGCTGCTGTATAACTGATTATAACAAAGAAAATCAATACAGATTAGCATATCAGACTGTGAGCCACGTATGCCTTTTGTAAACAGTAATGATATTCTCTAGTAGTCCAAATCTCAACAGGTATTTTATTGTTATAAACAATAAACCCAATAGTTTGAAATCTGTTGCCTAATAAATTTGGTTATTAGTGATTTTTAGTATAATGGTGTTACAAACTATTGAAAAAGTTTGATATATCTCAACATCTTTGAAAAGTATATATATATATATATATATATATATATATATATATATATATATATATATATATATATATAAAGTTGTATGCTTAACTACGCCTTTGTAAAACATATTCAATTGGACAATTAGGACATGACTAATCAGATAGTTAACATACATGTGAGTAGTCAATCATGCACTTATAGTGAGCAAGTACACTCTGTGATAATTTATGCGTAAAATTGAACAAGAATCAGATAATCAATTAATAGTCACTTTGTTCAACCCAAATTTTATGGTGAAAGTTGGTGAATATAGTCATTAAAATGATGATATATTCACAAAGTCAATTTGAACTCGTTGATCTACAATTACTTAAGCGAAATCGATGTCATTTAAGGTGATTCTACACAGACTGCAGATAATCAAACTCCCGAACCTGAACTCACATAGAATAGAACAGAAAACTAAAAGACACCGGATAAGTGTTCGTCCTAGTCTAAGACTATCAGTTATGTTCACCAGCAGTCCTATATAAGACTGAATTAGGTATCTTTCCGTCATATAATAAATAAGACACTGTTGAGTTATTAAATTAAAATTCAATAGTTTGTAACTTCAACTTCAAGCTATTTGTAAATAGTCGCATTTTTATTCATTTTTGTTGCTCAAGTTTAATGACAGATATATTGTTACTCTTTACTTATCCATGATTGACTGATCTCTTCCCTACCATAAATTAAACGGCTTTCAAATCCAAATAATATCTTCAAGTAGTGATGATAACATGTGTTTCTGTCGAACAACCTACGTGTGCCTAAAATTTGAAATAAATAAACTGGTCCCGTAAACAGCTTAACAAACGAAACAATGATCATAGATAAATTCACTTGATGTTGTTATACTAGTATCTTCCCATTGTTATTTAGGACTGCTGACGAATCCCGAATGGGACGAAACGCGCGTCCTGGATTCCACTGCTAGCCACTATCCATCTCCGCTTAATGAGAATAGATGTTGTATAAAATTGGTTAGCATGTCACCAACCACTTATTTGACTTCATAAAATAGAAAAGATGTTGCCAAAATACATTATAGATTACTTGATATTCGATGTTAACAATACTTTCAATCAAGTAACCGAATTATTTATTCTATAATACTACTACTGTTTAGTAATTTGGAAGAAGAAGTTACTATTTCATAATGATGAAAGAAATTAATCATCATCCGATACCAACGAAATAAATTAACAGGACTTTTCACTTAGTAAACGGTGATAATTCCAACTTGGTAAGTTTTCATTCATAAAATCACCAAATCATCAGAGAAAAACTAGATACCACAGAACAGCTGTAAACCATATAAGTACTATAACGATGCTCTTAAACAAATTGTGAGAAAATTCAAGTGACTCTTGATGTGAACAAAAAAATAGAGAAGACATGGCAAACGACAGGAGCTATTTTGTGGGATGTTATTTCACTCAGTTCAAAATTTTAAAATACGAACAATCATTTTTGTCAGAAATCTATTCTATAAACCATAAGCTTTCGTTTAATGGATGACTCACTGCCATACCGTTTTCTGTTCCAAACTATTGTAATTTAAACCTAACCTTTTGTACTCTATTTTTCTACCGTAATCCCCAGCTTGGACACAATTGTATTTTTCTAGTTGTTTGTGCGTTGTGATCATGTAAGTCATCTATTTATTCGTGTCTTTTACACTAATCCAAATCAGAAATACACCGAGTAGTGCTTTATTTGACTTGTCTTCACTCACGCTTGTCAACCAATCAGGTAGTTTTCGTCACTGTACAAGGCCATTTGAGTTCCATTTGGACGCACACATTCCTAGCCCCAAGGTTGAATCAGTTAGCCTATCGTGTGAAGGCCTTATATAAGATCGAAGCAAGTTCTCTCTAGAGTATCATTGAGTAACCTGATCAAGGACTCGAGAAGAAAAGCTCACTTAAAATTCAAGCAAAAAATACTTCCAAGACTTAATTAAAATGTCTTCAAATCAATTACAGTTGAACAAATCGACAAACAAAATAATCATCCATAAAAACAATAAACGCCAACAACAACTACTAACATCTAAAAATTGATGAAATGAAATTCAATTAATTGTATCCGTACAAATTGTGCAAGGAATTCCAGGAGCTAACGACAAAAATTAAAGTAATTACGATCGGCTAAAGAATAGCAACAGTAATCAGTAGCAGCAGTGTTTGCTACTGTGGTAGCGTTTATTTTTGTTTACTTAGTACTTGTTTCAAAAAAAAACAACGGTTGTTTTAAAAAATAACATTTTTTGCTTATTTCGTAAAGGAAATGGAAGACGATTTAGAAAGTAACAACAGGAAAACAAATATAAGTAATTTGGGAATAAAAAAAATCAAAGTTTCATGCTCAAGCATCTGATCATAGTGACAGCTAACGCAGGAAATAGTGAAATAGTCATTAATGAATCAAAAAGTTAAATAGAAAAGCAGTCAAACTTAAAATTACAGATTTAAAAATAGTATATAGTGTATACAGATTAAAGAATATGATAATATTATAACGAGACTATTTGTGATGTTGATACTGATTCCTGTTGCACAGGCAAAAGATAATGTGTCACTTAATACGATAATTGATATGCATATGCTTCGAACTGTTATTATTACAAGTTATATATGGTTGTATTAACTTACAAGAATCACAACAACTTTCTTGTACAATATTACAAACTGATACAACAAACTAGTAAACCTGAATACCAAATAATATACTTGGAATGTATTAGGCCACTGAAGAAAATTAATAATTTTCATACTTTGTTTTTCTAAGTATACAAAAATAAACAAGTTGGTTTGTGAAGGAAGTTGAAATCTTTGGTGCAGTGTGTACATGCACGCACACACATACAACAAACAATATTGAAAACAATTTAGTGAGACCATTTGAACATAAATTCATTGTTCACTTACGCCGTTGCAACATTAGAGATGAATATAAAGCTAAATATAGATGAAGTTGGCAAATGGATACATATGTATGAATAATCATGCATAACAAAAAAAATTGTTTATTGTTTACAACATTGTAATAAATAGGAATATTATAGTTTCTTTCGACAAACAAAACAAAACACATGAATGATTTGTATCAGGAAATTCATGATAGAGAATTTGTTTTTAAACAAAAGTGACTAATATCAAATGATAGAAGAGGAGAAATGAACATGAATTACATATTTTATTCATAAATAAACTACTATTACTACTTACATATGACAAAAGTAGTAGTAGTTAGAAGTATTATAAACATAATCAATTACAAGGGATTTTCATAAATTTAGCAGTTTCTAATTGTTTAAAAAAAACCTCGAAAAAAGTGGGAGGATATGGATAATAATTTCTGTTGAGTAGAAAAAAAACAAGCACACTTAGAGTTGAACACAAATCGATTATTCTACATAACAGTTACATTATCAGTATCTAATTCTAATGTAGAATTATTCGACTTAGAATTAGCATCAGGTGGTGGGGGTCGTTTAGGTGGTAGATCTTTATTCAGTTTCGATTCATGAATAGTTGGTGGTGTGATCATTTGTGATGGTAATGACAATTTTTGACTATGATTAATGGTTGTTAATTCTGTGCAGTTTGTGGTTGAGCTACTTATAATTTGTGGAAGACTTTCATGATGAGAATGATGAATTAATACTTCTGAATGACTACTGCAACAAATGTTGTTACTATCACCATTATTTTTGTTTTCTATGTCAGTGCCAGAGGGATTTTCTGATTTTTCAGGATCATTATTATTCACATGAGTTATTGAATAATTCGTTGGATTTAAAAGAACTGGTGGTTTTGGAGCAGCATTTTTCTTTCGTTGAAGTATAGGAGTAGTACTTAAATTTGACATCCTTGTAAGACACATAAACCAAATCAAACAACAACGAAAAAGGTAATCTAATGCTGCGAAAAAAATGACACGAGTAGGAAAAAAACTAAATATACTCACTCGAATACTATATACATATGCCAGAGAAACTTCTGAGCTGATTACCAGGTTCTTAGTCTTTCGAGACAGTGTTTTTGAAGAGATACCTGGTAGATCTTTCATTAGTAACGATAGTCCTGGCATAAAAAATCTACGGACTTTACGGAAGTGCACCATATATTATGTCAAATATATATAATACTCAATGTTTTTCGGCGGAAACGATTACTGCGTTTAACTAATAACCTACTCATAGAATATTTCTTCTGAAACATTTCAACTTTGTTTTATGTATACGTAAAACGCTGAACGGCAAATGTAAAACTACTATAATAGATAAATTTGTATAGATTCCACTGTTACTTAAATGATATTCCAGAAGAGTCTAACATTTGTCAACTATTTACAAAACAACCTTGCTCACAAATAAGAAAAGTAGACCAGACAGTTCAAATCAAGAGGAATGCTGTTAACGTACAATAACACGAACTTTGTGAAATCAACGCACAGGATAATGAAAATGTACAAACTCAATTGTAAATGTCCAATTTCGGGTTGTGGGTCCAATTTATTTTCAAGAAGCGACAACTTGCTAAATGCTAGTTTGCATGAAATAAAGAAAGAAATGTCTAGGAAAGTCGTGTTACACACCAGTCCCGAATTACTAGATTTAAAAAGCTGTGTCAGTTCAAAAGCATGTCAGTTGCTGAAAATTGAAATGCGTACAGAAGTTTGTCAAACAACCAGGTTATCAGAAAATACCTTTACAGTTATAGATAACACAGGGAGGTATACTGTAGATACGGATGTTATCGGATACAACTGCTCTTCTAGATGTAAAATGACGTTATTAAGTCGACATCTTATCAACTAAGCTCTTCAGTTCAATGAACTGATCAGCCAAACTAGTTCTTGTAGAAAACGATGGGTTTAGTTCAGCGAGTATTTAAACCCTGATGAATTACAACAACGAATACCAGACACGGTAGTCCAACGGCAGCCAACTAGAAATGATAAAATAAAACATATCAGTCAAATATTAATAAATTATCAAGAATTTTGGCTACTAGTCAACTACATGTTACATAACTTATCTAGTTCAGTCGCTGCACCCGTTGATCCAAGTTCAATTCTTGATTTTATTTAATTTCTATTTGGTACAATTGACCATTTGTGTAACAAGACTAGCGAAACATTATCCATTTACGTAGACAAAAAAATGGAAGAAATCAACAGTAAAAATGATGGTTTCGAAATGTAGATCTGTATTTTCCTATATCCAGTAATATCAATGCAGACAAAGGTGAAGCGAACGTGTATATGTGAGTGAACTATGAAGTCCCTACACCTAGTGGAGAATCTAGCGATGACAATGTTGATATTTGTTGTAAATGTTGTTTGCTCCGACCGCCAAGAGTCGAAAGCTGTCTTGGTGAACGGGTCAGATGTTCAAGATGAAGCATATTCAGTCATCTAGTCTGTTCTGCAAGGACCGCTGGAGGTGACCTCCTGTGTGGAGAATTCTACGGTTATGATAAATAGTTATGGGTTCTGTACGTGGATACCACACTTAACGATACATCTCATCTCAACAAGCGTTCAGTAAGAACGTAAAATGACCCTTTCTAGACTCTCCTCAACAAACTGATTTAATACTCTAGCCTTTTTTCCATTCAATGTATTAACAATAGTCCGGTCAATAAATAGAAATAGCTATGTAAAAGCTGTTTACTAAGTGCGCACCACATATAGTATAGAAAATATCAAGTATAATTGGCTAATAATAAGTGTGAATTTCTGCATTAATGACCTTTACATAATTTGTTGTTTTAATTGTGATCAGTATGTTTCCTAGACAGATAAAACTATTTTTAATGTTAAGCAGTTGACCTGTATCAGACAGTAAATATAAGCTATTCTACGTCTGATACAACTGCGGTTGTATTAATTCTCTGTTTGACATGATTTTTATATTTTTGTTTATACGTTACTGACACCTCATTTCACCACTGAATTCAAACTAGTGACGTTAACGAAATATGTGCGTACAATCTGCAGGACATGTTACAGTAAATGATTCATTCGGCGTTGTAATGAAATGAGAATTATGAATTAAATTTGTGATGAAATTAATAACAACTTACAACTGAGTATTATATTACACTTTACATATCATAAGGTAAAATTTTGTATAATTACGGTTGTGCAGTTTAAGAAAATGTCATTGTCCGAAACAACATTTTCTTCACTGGAACACCAACATTTTTCAAATTATTTCATTGAATTCATGAAGCAATCAACGTTAGACCGCCATTGAAAACCTGGAAGGATAGTCCGAACGTATCGTCCTGGAATAGGACTCTTCAGTAGTATTCATCCACAATCACATACGTGAGACTCGAACCCAGGACTTTCGGTCTCGCGTGAATCACTTAATTGTTCCTAGCTTGAATGTTGTAGATAAAGGATATGTCTATCATAATTAGCTTTAAAAGTGGTTATCTTCAATTTTAGCTGATTAGGTTAATTTATATTCGGGCAAACTAGTAAATATGATCACGATAAACTTGCGCTTAGTAAGAGTGAACTTTCTAATCCCATTCAATTACTTTGTATGTACAGTGTATTACCAAAGAGATTTTATACAACATCTTGACATTATACATATTTCATCTATGCAACAGTTGACAAATGAACAGTCTCAAATGCTTTTTATTTTTTATATCATTTATACGTCTAGTGACTCAGTTGACATTTATCTCATATACAAATTTAATCATAGTGGGATAATCTAAAAATTACTATACATAACGGAAAAACCTTAATCTCGTGTCTACACAATAGATGATAATGAAAATGACTATTCTTTTAATTTCAGTATCATTTCTTGTAATCGTCTAGTAATGATGATCAGTATTTGAAATAATCACTTGTTCAAACACGTTCAAATGTTGCTTTTAAGTAGAGTAAGACTATGAAACGTGGTGGATCAAGTGAACTCTTTGGACAGGTAAACAATATACATAAATCCAATTCATTTTAAGTGACATTACAACACACTATCCTACTACTTACTGTCGCTGAATTGGTTCACATGATTAATCTCTTCATATGAAGCTGATGACTATGTCATGATCCAATTTATTCGCTACACACATACACATTTTAAATTTTGTTGGCATACCACATCAAATGACTTGAATTGTCACTATACATAAAACTAATTGTTAAACATGTTTGGACAAGAGTTCAGCATTAACTTGTGTTAAGCCTTGTATATCGTCTACAATTATCATTTTCATTATTGAGCAGTTAGCCCACTAACAAAAGTTAAACACCATTACTTGTTTTACTCACTACTAATTAAAGTTTGTTACTTGGAGAATACATTTTTCCAAATAAATGAACCAACTGAGACAGCGACTTGTAAACCTACGATTAAAACCAACCAATGAAAATGAAGCATTATCGACAGAACCCACCCAAACAAACTGCAATAAAATAGTGGGTATTAGTGAAACAGTGATTACATAATTTGTATGAATCATATAGTAAGGTTAGATTGGACCAATCACGTGAGTGATTTATTAAAAAACAGAAAAAGAGAAATAATTGAATTCGTTGAGCATCACATCCTTAAACTTCAACAACACGCAGTCTACGAATTACTGGATATTCTTTAAACTAGGATACGTATCTATCCTAAAAGATACGAGAAATAAAGTGCGTATTATTGAAGACCACTATTAGAAAGAGCAACCAACGGAAAGTTAACCGTTGAAAGAGGGAATAACATTTTAAGGTTATGAAATCTGTCCGATTCGTCCTCTGTCCCTTCGCCTATACAATCAATCAAAAACGTAGTTTTCTAGACGTCTAATGAAGAGTCAACTTTCAAAAAAATACTGTAATTATTCGAATATGGTGACAATTTGTTATTGTTGTTACTCTGGTCATTTTATTTCGTATGTCTATTTTGAACACCTATGGGATAATCACTTTAGAGAAAGGTTTGGAGAGTGCTTGAGACGTGTTTGGTGAATTTCACGTCCAATGAGTTTTAAATGCCTTAAATTTAAAATTAAAAAGGTCATAAACGATATTCATCATTACATGTATTCCCCAAAACATTTTGTGCGCTCTTGCAAAACTAAATGAACTATTCTGCAGCCTATTAATCTCTGTAATAATTAGAATCAAATGAGCAGGTTTTATTGAATAATGATTAGATGGGCATACAGAACCTAGCATTAACATATGATTATTAGGAATTATTTTTCCAGTTAAAATAATACTCAGATTTACAGTTGACAGGCGAAAATGTTTAAACTAGTTAGCTTTTACTAAAAATCCAACTACACTACAATATCTTATAGATAAGTTCGCTGCAGAGGCATAAGCACTTCGTTTAGAAAGTGAAATACGAATTCACAGGTCGTGGAAATAACACTGTCGAAAATAAAGTTCCCTGTCTCTAAATCATCAATAATAATTATTTTCAGGATTTCATTCTGCCATAAATTGAACAGTATAAGGGAATATTTTAAAGCAGTCGTCTCACAGGAACTTTTTAAGTTCTTTATGTATTTGAATGTACATTGAAATTATTCTAACAACTTGAAGCTAATCTTCTTGAATATCTCGAAATGTTCCTAACATCTACGTATTTCAACAAGCTATCAGTCTTTGTTTTAATATATAATTATGTCTATCAATCGCATAAACTATTCAGGTGCATCTACGTAAAGTTTACGACCTTTCGCTGTACAAGTTTAAAAAAAGTACAATATGAGACATCGTGGTGGCTGACAATTTACATTGTAAAGAAAGAACATTATTCAGATATCAATTCCTGAATTGCTAACATCTAACTGGAGATTACTCAATATTTATCGTTTATATCGATCAAGAAATAAGAAACGGAAACTCGCTGAAATACTTTGTGCTGAAAATTCGATATTGTACCAAAAATATAATAATAAAACTTGCCTATTTATATTTTAAGACAAGTCACTTCTCTCTTAAAAACCAATCTATCAATTTTACATTTACGAGTGAAACGCTATATCCCACAATTATAATTATCGATTACTTACAACACTACAATTATTAGGACTAAACTACTGTACAGTTTTAACTAAATAACTTTGACTTTGAGACTAGTAAATCTTTCCACATTTCATCCACTAAGACAAGAACTTTCATTGTTTGAAATGTCATGGTACTCTAGATTTTCAAAGTGAGTACATAACTAGTCGATGAGGACAGTGATCGAACAATTCCAGCTTTTCAGATGTAGGAAAATATTAGAATTCTTTTTCATGTAGCCCACTGTCATGAAGCAAGAATTTTCCTACACTCACACTTGTACTCAGAGGATAAATTTAGTACATTCATTGTCTAACGCTGTCCCTGTTAGAAGTGGTGTAATACAAGGTAGTGTCTTAGGTCCTTTGCTCTTTTTAGTGTTTATCAATGATATTTGTGAAAGTTTTTGTGTCGGTAAGCCCCTTCTATACGCAGATGATCTTAAAGTAGTGTATTCGTTTTCTCCACATGAGCTGAAAAATATGCAAAATTGCATATAAACTATCGTTTACATCCAATCACGCGATTCAATATGCAGAAACTTCTCATTATGACATCCGTAATTCCTTGGCACTAGTGAAACAAACTCATTCTAAATCATCTCTTTATATGAATTACTTCACCTGTAAATTTTCTAGAGTATGGAATAACCTACCACAATCTATCCGCACGATAAAATCACTCCAATTATTTGTTCGCTGCATCGATGCATACTGCTCCTCTGAAAATGCATTGAATGGTCTAGCACCTGCAAGTGTATCTCATTCCACAAGTGATATTTTAGGAACTTTAAGTGTTTAGCCATCTTTATTAGTGAATCCCCTAAGTAAAACCACCCACTTGCTGTCAATATGTTAACACCGTCCCTAGCAAGTTTAACTAATTTGAATAACATAAACAGTATATCACTGTGTCACATGACATACGCATTTAGGTAGACCTGAGTCATATATTTTGGTAATTACTGCTTTGTTTTTCCGTGCTCTGTGTTTTCGTTTTAATTTCTTTAGTTGTAGATAATTATCATTAATTCGATCTGGCACACGAATTGACCTTAATTAGTCCGTTAATAAATCAACAGGCTGTCCATTTAGGAAATATTAAAAATTCCCGGCTGATGCATTGGATCACTGTAATACATGTACTACATAAACAATTACTGAACTTGTATACTTAAAACGTTCTTCTATCACATGTTTGTTCTGTACATCTAATGTCCCTCTTTATATCAAATTGATCATGCCTGTGAACTGGCGTGAATTCTGTAATTATTATTTTCAGAATATAAATTATTATTATTATTATGTGTATTGAGGACATTATGTTATTTGGTTAATTTGTGGTGTATGCTACTTATATTGACATAGGTAGTATGTGATGTTAGTCGTGAACCGAAGGTCTGGCAGAAGAGAAATAAGAGGATCGAACAGTAAAGGATGGGGACAGGATGAAATTTGTATGAAAATGCAAGAACAATAACGTCTGAGTCATTTTGAGACAATTGGTAGAGATTTTGAAAATTAAGCATTTATTTTATGATTGTTAGATTTTATTAACAAGTCTTGTAATTTTGTGTTAAATACATTCGGTTATTCCCACGGGTGTTCTTGTTCACTACAAATCTAACAAGTGATACATGTAACAAATGTCACACAAAGTAACATTTAGAAGCTACACATTAATCATCTGATTTTCAACTGTTAGCTTACTGAGATAAAATAGCTTTATTTAAGTCGACTACATAATAGCAAATACGATTGTAATTTAGCTCATAAATATTGTTAATCAATGTAGAATGCATGAAAGAGCACATATAAGTAAAAATTAAATACCTGACAATGAGTGAATCGTATAAAGCTAATCATCAGTAATAGATGCAGATATAATCATAGTTTAACGTTAGATAACAACATTTCAGATCATAGATTAGTAAGGTGTAGAAGTTTGCTCACTTACGATCTTGATTGATTGTACTAAAAGACCTATCGTTGAATTAGTGTGAATCATTGAACCATATAACAATTGCAATCATAGGTTGGTTAGAGAGATGTATGGAGAATTGTAATTTCGATAAATAATAAGAGATCAGATGTTATTAACTGATATTTCCGCAGTTCAGTAAGATGGGATGGAAAAGAGCAACTACACTTACAGATTCGCATTATCCGGTGAAATTCACTGTGATTTCTACATAAGTTCAGTCAATAATCATACAAGGACCGTAGATTGACATCCTTCAACAAAGATTTTATAGACAACTAATAACAAGAACATACAAGTAAGAATGGAAAAGAAATATTTTTAGAACGATAATAACTTATTAAGGTAATCTATTACCTGGAAGTTATAGCAGACTGAGTTGAATGGGAAGTAGAAACACCAAAATCATGATCAACACCAACAGGTTTTCTGGGAGCAATTAATTGGTTAACATTCTGAGATGATTGTTCATTTAACGCTATGGTACTGCTATCAAATCCATGAGAAACACCAGTGCCGGAATTCGATGACTTCAATGAAGGTACAGAACCAGTAGTAGATGGACACTGTGAAGAAACTTTTATTCCGAAATTAGGTGGAACATGAGTTACACGAAACGAGGCTGTCGTGCAGAAAGTAATCGAAAAAAATGTGGACAAACACTCTACGTTGTAAACGTGAAGAAATTTCATTTTTAATTAAGTTAATATATTAAAAATAACACACCATACATTCAGTGTGTTGACTAATGTGATCAATAGAAAAAGGTTAACTAAAATTAATTAGAAAGAAAATTGTACGATAATCTATAGTGCACAATATGAATAAAATATTAGGTAAAAAGTTTTGATACGGGCCAGTGTGGACTCAAACATGAACTAATATTTCAGTCAATGATTACAACAATTAATAGGTAATATATATTCAGCTTCGATTCGACCAATAGTGTTAGGGTAGACAGTCCGTACAACGTTAATGTACTTACTTGGAATATCTTTTATAATTGATTATTGTAAAGAGAATTAGGGATATATCTTGATGTAAAGTAAAGAACGAAAAGGGATAGATTAAGCTACTGTCTAGTGCTTTATAATCTTCGTATTCCTTCAGATGATGTAAGAAATATTGATTACAATCGTTTAAATCATTAAAATCAGCACTAACAATCTCTAATACATAATTGCTGTCAGATTTGAAGGTCATGGGTTTAATCCCCAGTAAGGCTGTGAATGTGTACTGAATAGATGAATCCAATACTATGGTAAAACAGTTATCTGCCATCGCCTAGTTTTCAATATTTTCTAACCGAAGTTAGATCAGGTAGTGAAACTCCAAACTTCATAATCAATTAGGTTAATTCATGATTGTAAAACTACAAAGTTATGTATGAAGTAATGTATCAAATCAGTCGTTACCTTGCTCTTGACCAAATAACTGTTCTGCATTTTGGATAAGAATATCTACTAAATGAATTCCTGGACCATTGCTTTGTAAGAAATCTAAAGATTTTCCTCTGAATACAAAAATAATAAAAGTAATTGAATATAGTGTTATAACATTTCATTAATAATAACAGTCAATAAATGATAAAATAATGATGTATTTGTAATATTCCAATGGGTGGAAAATTGAATTCTTACATATTGTGACTGTATAAGTTTTATTACCACAAGGAATATCCATCCAGTTTTTAATTTATTTCTAAATTAAAAACTTAAACTTCAGTAAATCAACAGTTTTCAAGAAAAGAACAATTAGAAAAAGTAACAATGATGCAACGAATTTGTAAAAATAGATTAATTAAAATATCATAAACTTAGTTCCACTTTTTTTAATTGTGAAATGAGCAGAAGCAAACAATCGAGTACAATAATATGAATTCATTTTATTTTGTTAGCATCTCATCAGCTGTTTACAACGTTTATTTTAAAATCAAAATTATTAATGTAAGTTAACAGACGAATAACAGTGAAATTTGTTAGATGTTATGTATCATGGTGGAATGGTGATTCCAATGACGGTGATGAAATTGAACCCGATCGTTGTTGCTAACTTGACGTGGTGGTCGGGCTTGCCTATCGTGATGAAGCAACCGAGCTATACTGGCTGGAACAACCGTTCCTCAAGGTCCTACCATGTCAGACAGGTCGGTTGAAGAGTGGTAAGACTAAAAGCAACAAACCCAAGGTCTGAAGGCGAAGTCGTATTGCTGACTGTACAGAGGTGTGACAACAGTGAGGTGTTTCCTTTAGACAACCAGCATAACAGAGATGCTGCCTTCCCACAAGGAGGGGCGGGGTTAGAAAAGGTCGACTCTAAGAATGCACACCTCACCTTATCCCACGGACATCCGTCTCCAGCGGTAAGGTCTCAACAAGTACGGAGCTAACACAAAAATTACCCATAAAAAGGTCGTGTGTGACCGACCTCAAGCAGTTGTCCCTTAGGCACTGAGGTCACGTTACCAGGTCACTAAGACCACCTCTAATCCAATCTCCTTTTCAGGTACCTGCAGAAGAACCCTTCCACGGTGTGGGCAACCGGGAAGTGGTAACCGCCCTCATACCTCTAACAGCACTCAAGACCACTGTATTCATAATCAAACTCCGACTGACTGACTGATGAAATTGAAGAAATGTACTGTTGTAAATAAACAGAATATGTGAGAGAGGAGTCTGGATCAGCAAATATGGTAATAAGAGACCACAAAGCTATAAAAATACCTGATTACACAATGAAGTAACTAAGCACACATTAATAGGTTAGTAGAAGCAACATGAATTAACATCAGTCAATTAGAAATGAAATTATTAGCAATACGAGAAAGAGTTAGAAGAATGATGAGATGAACTGACGATAACGTCACTATGGTAAGAAGAAATATGCATTTTATGTGTATGGGTACTGGGTTCGAATCCCAATATGAATATTACCACTGAAATGTAGGAACATCCAACTGGAAAACCCTGAGTAAGAGCAAATGCATAGTATGGATTTCATTGCTAACCATTATCCAACCCTTGAAGGAAGATGAGAATAACAACTTTACTCATAAAATATTGTTACTTCAATTAAACAGAAGTCATATAGTCACTAAAATTTATAAGTTATGTATGGTAGAACAAAACAATATTTTCAGTACTCAGATGAATGGACTATGATAAATAACAATTTAACCGGAAAGTAAGAAATCAAGTTGACTAATCATATACACAAAATCAACAAAAATGTACGCATAAATTGTAAACAGAAACCTAATCACAAAAATGAAATGGAAACCATTTTTATGTGAGTTACATTGTAAATAAGACTATATATATATATATATATATATATATATATATATATATATATATATATATATATATATATATATATATATCGTATTTTAGGCTTCATAGTTACGCTGACCTTAAATAACGAGACTATGACCAATCACACTTATGACCTAAAAGAATTCTGTATTATTTACAGTACGATAGAATGTGTTGTCGTTTTATAGGCCCCTAATCAATGTATTTATTATCATTTGTGCAGCCTGACTAATCAGTCTAACTAATAAACTAATCAACTTAACGATCTAACAAAACTTGAAATAGAAGTTATTTGTTTAAAATTACGATAAATTGTAGTTTGGTTTGAGCGGTTTAATGGTGATTGGTCAAATTAGTAGATTGTATTCGTCATAGATTGGTAGTAGATGGTGTAGCAATGAGAATCAAGGAGCAATGAGAGGGTATTTCTTCCCAGTTTGTAAGTTAGCTGTGTAGAACCATGATAGTGATAGCTAATCATGAATACGAGCATGATCATGAAAACTGGAGTGAATATCCTTCAATAATGTGACATTGTTGCTAGGGTTAGTTTTTAGAGAATCATAATTAGATTAGAACTTTCAAATATCAGGATGTTTACCATTACTAAGCCTTAAAGTTATGATAGACACTAATATGTTCAAGAAGTTTACGGTTTTCCGCCAGAACAAAATAGACTAATCACGCCCAGTAGTCTTGAATGTCGACGATGCAAAAGAAAACACACAAAGCCTTTACAAATAAAAGTAGTGGACCATTAAGAAAATATACTATGCCATGATGTAAGGATTAATATTGCGATCTACGCATAATAACTGGATTAGCAAAAATAAATTTAAAGATTCATTCAGACAAAAATAAAAACAATTGCTTACAAATCTTCAATTTGTCGTACTGAACTGCCATTGGCAATATTATTACCAGTACCCATGGAACAGTATGAAAGTCTATACACGTTTGGTGCAATCACTATTGATAAATTATCAGAAGTCATTTTATTCATATCTGATTGACTAGACAATTTCTGCAAGAAGCACATTAAATAGCCTAAATTTAAACGAAACTCCTTAGGCATTTTTTCAAGGCAACTATGAATTAACTGTAGATTAACCGCTGCTGAATTCGGTCTATAATTAAAAAGAGGACAATACAGAATGAATGATTTGTGTGTTAAAATAGTGATAGTAAATACAACTAAACTATTTCTAATTGTATGCAAGAATTGACTACGATTGAAAAAGGTATTATATCGAACTAGTGTTAATTTTTCTACCTAAGCATGAATAATTTTAGAGAGAACCTATTGAAAGGAAGTTGGGTTATTGAGAAAATCCCTCTCCAGTGATTGTGAACATGAGTATGTAAATTTGAAATCCAAACAAATAACTCAACTTATAATGCAATGAGGTAATAAAAACTTAAGTAATCACTAGAGCTATTTTGACAGATACGTCGGGATCATCCGCAGTATGATTAATTGATCGATATTTTTTACTGTACTGTGAAATTTTGATACAATCATTACGAGAGTAAGCACCAAAATGTCGGGAGGCATGTGATTTCTTTTAAGCAACTATTTATCATTATGAAAGGGTCCCCAAACAAAGATGAATCAGTTTCCGTATCGAATAATTTTCGAATTCAAAACAGGAAAACTAAAATGTAGATAATCATGGGATAACAAGTTCGTCTGTTTAGTTAAATTGCCCAAAAGAAAAAACATAGACATCTGAATATAAAATTATCTCAAAGATCAGAAAAGTACTAAAGAATAAACTATGAGGTGGTTACAGTTTTAAAGAAGGTATATAATGTATAACGTATTGAGAAATGAATTCGGGAAATAAATCGAGTTCCGATTTTCTCGGAACAAGCAACCTCCAAGGTCATCCTATGACTAACTTGTCGAAGCCGTACTAAAATCTTAACCCGTGTACGGTTGTGATGGATGAATGCTATTGAGGTTTGTCGAATTAGAACAAAACAAACTCATAGGACTATCTTACATCTAGTAGTTCTCCAATTTAACAGAATAAGAATTAACAAAAATGTCTTTAATTATATTAGTAATCTTATGTGGGTTCTTCACAGAAAATATTTTAATAATGGTGAGCAAGTTTTATGATTAATTAACTGACAAACAGAATGCTTACTAATAGATGATGAGCAACTAAACAATACGATTGACTGATAGCTATTTAAGTTATGAAAAGAGCAACTGGCAGAATAGGTTTCTCGTCGAGCAAGGTGATATACCTTTACACAAAAATCAAACTTGATTCAATATCACTGAATAAATAACCGGTTGAAAAAAGTGAATTTGGAGGTCACTCATTCGCTAAAAAGATTTGAAACCTGACTAACAGACTCAATTTTTACCTACTAAATATAAGTACTGAAAAAATGTCACCAAAATGCTACTTTTGATTTTGTAAGTAGCATATAAAAAATGGACATATCTGTTAAATGTTTTCATAGATAACATAAAATGATTGGCGAGATAAGCAGAAATTTACGATGCATTTTGTATAAAACTTTATCTAATCCAAATTTCTAATAACGATCATTGGCGTATCATTAATACTATACGTCGATGACATAACGCAGTCATCATCCAGGAATACACAAACCAAAAAATATTCACAATTTGAGGGAAAAATATGATCATTCATTAAACGCAACACATCTTTTTTTCTTACAATAAAAAATAAGGTGTTTCTAAATGAAATATTTTATCCAAAAAAGGAAGTTACTTTTTAGAAGCAGCAGCCCATTGATCAGCGAAATCATAAGTGATTAATGGTTCAGGAAGACTAAGCAAATATTGTTTCAAAGCAGCAGCAACAACAGCACAGTCACATTTTCTAAGTAAATTTTCATCGATTTGCATGATATTTAAAGCTTTCTGAATAATGATATAAAAAATGTTATTAACAATAAAAATATTAATAATAATGAAGTAATGTACAGAAAATGTTGATATGTTCATATCCACCAACCCGGTTTAGGCGACGTCCTCTCAATTTTGTAATTATCAGCCATCCGCGAGAACGCAGTAAGTAGGACTTCCTTGGCAGTGGCTGTATACGCGTAGCCATGTGAGAGCATTTCGAGCGGGAGAGCAGAGTCTCCTCACCCTCGGCCGTACCAGGGCATTTGGGGACTATTATCGACATCATTATCACAGCTGAACTGTGAAAATTCAAAATGAGACACGATTAGAGATAACTCTTCATCGTAGCAAAATTGAGAGGAATGAATGACAAAGGTGTTATCATAGAAGAATTTCTCAAAATCGAAAAGATAAACCAATGAATCCTAACTTCATGATCTGAACACATCATGAAAATCACGTTCTATAATTGATTGGTCGCTGAATAGTGATAAATACCATGTTTGTCAACTGATATCCTGTCGACGGACTTGCAATGTCGCAACTAGTATAAGTAAATCAACATATCTTGTACTCTGTAAAGATACCAAATGGTTGTAGGTAATCGGCAGGACATTGATGATCACTTAGTGATCAATCAATCGTAAGTATCTCAGTATCATTAAAGATAAGTCGCAGCCCAAATAGTCAATTATAACATCTCAGACTGTGAAGCTGGATAATGCAGATACAAATGCCACAGAGAGCACCGATTCTCCTAAGACAACCGGCTCGCCTTTCTGAAAAGTGCATGAAACAGGGTTTCCTGCCCACCTTTAACCGCCTGACATGAAACACCTCTTAACAAAACAAGCAAATTTAAGGTGGATCGATTGCATAAATATGATACAGTGGTGTAAACTATCGACTTCAAAGCGCTGTATTACAACTTAAGCGTCAACCTATATCTAAGTTTAAAAATTGAAAAGATAATTGTCTTACTAGGGAACCCGTTACGTACGTACATAATTTTTGTGGCATTACTTAACTAACCTCAACCCGACCGCTAAGCATGTGAAATAGTGTTAAGAAAAATAGTATTCAACTTTTATTTACCAGTTTTTAAGGTTAAGGGAACTAATAATGAGATGTCAAACATGAGATATAAACTAATAATGAACCTACGAGTAATTTTCAAATCGTTATAACGAAAAAAATATGTCCTTCCTATGAGATTTCAATTCAAAACGTTTATTAATGTAAGCAGCAGCCAGTCACAACGTAGAGCCTAGCACGTAAGTACGTCAGCTCAAAATGCCAGACCATTAGTACAAATAGATGAAATTGGCAGGCCAAATCTGTGAATGGCAGAGGTAGTAATAGTATCAGTGGTAAAAGGAAAGGTAAGGTATCGAAAATACCGTTTTGTCGGCTCAGTGGTCTAGAGGTTAGGCGTGCGCGTGCAAGACCGAAAGATCTTGATTTCGAATTCCTTGTGAAGGATTGTGAATGAGTACTCCTGGAGAGCCTCATACTAGGATGAAGCGGTTGTCCAGTGGTTCCAGCTTTTCGGTGGTGGTCTGATACTGATAGATTCATGATTTCAAATAAATTTATATCACATCAAGTGTTTTATTTGTTGAGATACTAAATGTTGGAGAAATAAAACCTAAACACCATGCCGAAATGAAAGATAGATTTCAATTCATGGAAAATGCTTGTAGCAGCTGAACTGATAGAAAGTGTTAATGGTTGGTTGAATACTGATGACAGATAATGACTGCAGAAAAAGATTTTTAAAAAGTGTTTTGAGTAATTACTATTTGAATGTATATTGAAAAGATATTTGTTGTAACGTCGCACAACTGATGCTGGAAATTCTTCACTGTACACGGAATTTATAGCACAGGATAGAGCTATTATCAATATTATTGTCATGATTATTATTATTTTTATAAGGAAATACATAGGTAATCATAGGAAATGTCCACAATATTATTACTTGTAAACATTTTTACAGTCTACAATGCGTATTTTTACTTACTACTAAGAGGTCTGTCCGTTTTTGGGATCCAGACTTTCGAAAAAGACCCTGAAACAAATAACAGGATTCACATGTTACAAATTTAAATGATGTACTCTGCCTTAAATCTGGCCAATTTTATGGATTATTAATTTGGATTTATAATTGTAGAACCTGATGAGAAATTATTGGAAAGAATATTCTTCGTTCATGTATCTGTGTTTTAATTTAAAAATAATAGAATAACACTAATAATATAAGATACAGCATACAAACAAATAATGGATATATAGGAAAGCCATATACCAATGAATTAGTTTATTGAAATCTAAGATCTATATCAGTAGACGTTCCAGTATCAAACGAGAAATTCTCGAATGTAAAAATGCAACAAATAAACATTACCACCTTATTGGCACTGATCGATTGAAAATCGACACCATATAACATCAGTAATCACATATTGAAATCAAACAAAGTTCTTAAAGATTACAAATATTTTAGGAAGTGACTGGTTGTTGTGAAGATATTCACAGACAATTGTTTACTCGAAATATGGAACTCCTGAATAGTCAAACGGAGTGAAAACGATCGACTAACATGGGCGATAAGTCATCTGGCCCTAATTGCAGATGAACAATTGAAGAAAGGAGTTATTCTATGTGAAAAGATTAATCTGTTTATGATACTTTATCCCAATGAATTGAAAATGAAAAACTCAATCAATCAGATAGCATATATGATTACGATCTGCTAATATTGGTTAACTGAAATCCAATGTCAACTAACAGTTCCATATACATTCAGTAAAAATTACCATTGAATAGTATGTAACCACCTAGATACTGGTTTGTATGGCACTAGTGAGGCAGAGATTAGTTTTACATCTTCTCTCGATACACTCACTTTCTTCTAATTAGGTGTTCATTAACAGTAATTAGTATTAAATGACAAGGTATCATTCGTATGACAGGTTCAAAGTTTATTGTCTAACCAATTATCAGGATTAATACGATAATAATACAGAAAAAATAACAAACAAACAAATATACCAGGCATTGTGTTGTTTAGATAACTTGGATAGACATAGATGAGTGATAACCATAATAAAAAGAGATAACATATTAATGCGTGCTTCGATATTGTTTCACTGAAATAATAATAATAATAATAATAATAATAATAATAATAATAATAAAATTTTAATTTAAGAAAGTAATAAAAAAATTTGATGTAAGTTTATATATGAATAACATCATGACTGTTAGAATAAACATTAAGGAATTATCAAGAAAACTGTACAAAAAACTTAAGGTAGATATAAAATATGATGACCCACATTATACAATAGTACTTAGATACAAAATAGTAATAATAATAATAGTACTAATAATCAAATCGTATATATTTTCGTGTCGACAGACTATGTAGGTTAAAAAGTAAAGTATGTTATGTTGTAAATTCTATATAACCTATTGGTATAACATCATTAAACCATTAAACACATTTTTTCTAAAGACATCAATTTGTTTTTGAACACATGAACTTGACTAATCCGAATAGCGGTAGTTTACAAGAGATGTTAATTTTATTTATTTATGATAGATATTCAGCTAAATACACAAATAGGTCTGTTTCCAATCATGAATACCTCACGTTCAGAACTTAAATTGCTGCTTTTAGTCTCTAACCGAGCTATGTGGTATGGTAAGACATAAAGAAACAATATAGCTTGACTGTGTCATTATGACATACAAACCCGACCGTTATGTCAGGATTAACACCTATGGTTGGGCGACGAAATACAAACGTATTTATATAAATGTACTTAATAGTATACAGTAAGAGATCCTCATTCAGAAAAGTGCGCTTCAGTTTGATAAGTTAGATATTTTGGTTCAGCTTATAATTGCAAAGAAGTTCCAAAAAGGAAAAAAATAGCATAAATGAGAGGTATTTGTACACAAAGAAGTACGAACATTTGTCGTAATGAGTGTAATAATTATGGTTGAACTCACATTATAGTAAGTGTTGACATTAAGAAATGTTCAGTTTCATTAATTTTAATACATATTTCAGTAAAAATCGTTTTCTATACTCTAATTCAAATAAATGAGTAAACGATTATACATAGAAATATATAACAACACACCGTCTATTAAGTGGCCAAAGTGATGTGCTAATACATTTTATTCTTTCAAATACAATAAAAAATCTCGAAATCTAATCTAATATATTATATATATGTGCTAACGTGAGTGAATATCAATAATTACAAAACTAAGGATAAAAATGAGTCTTGCCAACTGCTGCATCAATTAACTACTTAATGGTCATATGAAAACATGATTCGATCAAAAGTATGAGGGTTGACGAGATTGTTAAGTGCTATTGAGATCGCAGACCAATTTAAGTAAGATAGCCATCAAAAACCTGGAAGCACTGAACAGTTAATTGGTTCAAGTACAAGACTCCTTAGTAGTGCGCATTCACAACACTGACACTATGGGTCGAACCCAGGACCTTTGGTCTTGAGCACGAACACGCAGTAGTGTACAAGTTAAGCATTCGGACGCTAGACCAAAGGTTCGGGGTATGATCCCCGATGGCAGTGTCCTGAATGAGTACTGCTGAGGAGTTCCAAGCTAAGATGGATCTGCTGAATTACATCAGTAATAAAACCGTCTAGATAAAATAGTAGTGATTAACTAACTATATTTAGTGATCAATTAGCATTAACATTGCATCTAGTCATTTAAGACGATCACCACCTAAGTCTGGTCATTTTGTGGTGTGTGCTACTTATGTCGACAAACATAAGTAGTATGTAACATCAATCAGAAGTGGAATGTCTGGAAACAGAAGGTTAGGAAAATCGAATCGAAGAGATCGGGAACAGAGAGTGATTGTTATGACAAAGGAACGGTGAAGTTTGAGACAATTGATAAAGGATTTGCAAATAAAAGATTAAACATATAGTCTTCACATTTTACGAAAGAACTCTGTAATTTTCTATTGAGATATACTCGGCTGGTCAAATCTGTGTTCTCGTTCACAACATTTTTAGTAAGGATTAAGTAATCTTTTCTGTTAGCCTATTGCTACTGATAAATTCATATATGTTAATTCACTTTTAGGTGAACGGGTTTATTTTACTTTTTCTTAATAATGTTTTACCTTAATAAGACATTTTTATGAGAAATCTGTTATAATTAACATGATGTTCATGTGATGTATCATTTTGTAAAATCAATTCATATACATGTATATACAACATAATCTAAAGGCAGAACCGACTCACATTCTTAGATCAAGGTAGAATAAGAATTTCTTAACATAGAAACAATACCACCAATCATAGATACATGAAAATCTATGTATATAAAAATACAGACATACAAAAATGTTTGACATTATTTTTTGACATTTATTGATCGACAGAATACACAATGCAAAATGATAACTAAGGAGAGAGAGAGAGAGAGAGAGAGAGAGAGAGAGAAAAAAAAAATAATGGATGTTAAGTATTCAACAATAACATTCAGAATTCAAATCTACAGTAAACGAACAATGGTGTATAAGTTTGTTGAACATTAATTAAAGAATAATGAATACTTGTGTAAATCTATTCCATTTTTTGTTGGAAAAAAGACACATTAAATCTCTTAAATAATAGCACAATGTGTATTAGATGTAAATTAGTTAAATGCATTAAAGTAAATGACTAAGTGACTACATATAGATATATGTTAGCGTAGTTTAGAAAAAAACATTGAGAACTTAATCATAAAGATGGCAAATGGAATATTTTAAGAAGTATTAAGGTTAAAATGGAGATAATAAATAGTAATAGTTCAAGTATACTAGCTAAAAAAAACAACGGAACATGTAATTAAGATAGGAGAATTTTTGACATTGTATATACAGGAATAGAACCCGAAAGTCCTGAGGTCGTGGATAAGAAACGTTAAGAAGTTAGGTCAACAGGAAACCTTAGATTTAGGTTTTGTATTCGTTGGCCCTAGTCAGCACAGAGTACATGCAATATCGAGGGAACTGATAGTCTCTAGTAAATTTGAAACTGGACCACTCAGTTTTATAAATTGACGCGCTAGTAGTAAGCTATACGGCCCGCGTATACGGCTGAAGTATTTACACTGACTGAGAAGTAGTCAATGTCATGTTTTTTAGTACCAAACTGGGATACGACGACTAATCTAAATGACTCAAACACTGCATGAACTATGTTTTGATGTCTGGTTGAATTTAGGCGATTGAAAGAAAATCCTTGATCCAGATTTCTTGCAACTTGATCATGTCACTCGATCAGAAATAATGACAGGATAAATATGAAATTAACAGCAATCCAGTAGGGATCAGATCAATCAGTGTAAATAAAATCTATAAACCGTTAAATGAAAACACCTGCTCCTATAGGAGATCTTAATCTCAGTTAGTCTAAAGTAAGAGTAAATTTCAATTAAACGTAATTAAACTAAACTGAATGAACAGTGCAATAAGACGTAATATATTAATAATCAAAAGCGGTACTTTGAATATGTTGGAGAGTAGCCGCCACACTGTCATGTCGTTGTGCACACAAACATGTTGTAGATCTCTAACGGTGACTGATGATAATATGGTATATTATATCTATGATACATCCCAAAGATCATATTAATAAGCAATCTTAATTAATCGTAAAACAGTCTTTTTAATGGATTCAAACAAAATAACAAGAAAATTACATGATATATATGAAGTTTCCTGTAACATTCAGTGGCTGGATTTTTATGAACAGGTAATTTTGTAATGTAATAAAAAATATTAGAAATAGAGCAGCGATTTAATGATTGAAACATTTGGCTTTTACGTGCTGAACCTCAAACTCAAATTTTGCTCCACTCACTTTAGTAGATACGTAATATCATTTAGTTTTTGCATAAAAAAACGTAAAGGTTGAAGCTAAATGCCTAAAAATAATTGACAGATACGAAGAGAACCTTGGCGGCCTGTTTAAATATCTGGGTAACCTGTTCCTAACATCTACGTATTTCAACAAGTTATCTGTCTTTGTTTGCCCCCGAATGCCCTGGTACGGCCGAGAGTGGGGAGAGTCCGCTCTCCCTCTCGAAATACTCTCACACGGCCGCGCGTATACAGCCTCTGCCAGGGAATTCCTACTCATTGCCTTCTCGAAGCGGGGGTGTTGTTTACGAAAATGAGAGGACGAAAAGCGAATGTCCGGCGCTTTAGCCGGATCCCAAACCAATGGTGCACATGGGCTCCAGTATCCTGAGGGAACAAATGGCGTATGAACCAATTGTTGGTCACTGGCTTCCATGGGACTGCATCTCCTTACGATGCTCCACTGCCTTGTGGATTAGACATTTAGGTCAAAGGCTCGGGGAGTGGCCCCCTAAGATAACTACCTGCTTCGGTTTGGGCACCCGGGCAGTATCACAGCCCACACACAAATGATGAACTCTTTATGTCTATGGAAATTACTTTACTCGCTTCGAAAAACAACCAATTGATTCAAATTATTATCATTACAATTATTGTCATTATTAATACTATTATTATTACTATTATTGTCATTATTATTATTATTATTTTTCACATTATTCACCCTCTTTTATACTTATACAGCGGCTCGTCTTTGGTGGAAATTCGACTATATCTAAACGTTCTCGAGTCACTGTCCGGTTGAAAATTGTATGTTACCACCGAATACGAGAACTGAAGCAGTTTTTCTGAAACCTCGTGCATCATTCAAACTGGCTGCCTTCGCACACTTATGCAGGTCGAACAACAGATAGGGCTGGCTATGTCTTTAGAAAGTCTTAATATTGATGTTTGTTGTCTATCCGAGACCCGTATTCAAGACTCTGGCGAAGTACTACAAATTCGATCTCCATCTGTCGCTTCGAAAAGCTTGTTTTACGTGCGCTTATCCGGGGACCCTGTGGCATCTTCGTCTGGTCTTGCTGGCGTTGGTGTTGCACTAAGCGCTCGAGCTGAGGCAGCACTAGTCAATTGGATCCCCATTAACAGTCGGTTACGTGCCGTTAGATTGGAAAGTTCCATCAAAGTGAGAAGAAATCGGCGTGAGAAACGATGTCTTTTCGTCATCTCCGCCTATGCCCCGACAGATTGCAGCCCGGATTCAATCAAGGATGAGTTTTACCACCAGTTATCTGTTCTTCTCCAGAAAGTGCGTTCGACAGATATTGTAGTACTAGCCGGAGACTTGAATGCTCAGGTCGGGCATCTAGGCACAGAAGAGAATCGTTTAGGTGGGCGATGGGGACTTGTTGGTCGCAGGACAAATAACGGGGACCGTCTACTGCAACTGTTTACAGACCACAACCTGTTTCTGGCTAGCACTAACTTCCGGCACAGTCATCGCCGATGTGCCACCTGGCGTCCTCCCTCTGCATCTCAAGCCTCGACTCAGATTGATCACATCGCGATCAGCTACCGCTGGCGTGGTTGTGTACAAGACTGCCGCTCCTTTTGGAGTACCTATCTGGACTCTGACCATGCCTCGGTCTGCGCCAATCTTACCTTACTTTTCAGTGGACAACGAAGTGACCGCCATCAACGGATTGATATGAGCAAGCTGGTTGCAACTTCTGTTGCAAGTAAGTATCGAACCGAGCTAGCTTCTAGGCTAGCTACCACCCCACCGAAAAGTATAGATGAGCATTGGTTGCAATTGCATGACGCCATGAAAATGGCGGGTACAGTCAGTTGTGGGTTTGCGAAACGTCCCACTTTTAAGCACTGGGTTTCTCCAGGTTCGTTACAACTCATTGAAACCCGTCGGACTACACCGGGTGACCGTGAGTTTGACCACAAACAAAGGCTGTTGCGTAATGAAATTGGACAAAGCTTCCGTAAAGACCGAGAAGCCTGGTGGTCGGAGCGTGCTAATGAGCTGGAAGCAGCAGCTGCATCTGGAAATTACCGGAAGCTCTTCCAACTCATCCGAGCCACTGGCAGCAAGAAGTCTGGTGTGAGCGGAACAATCTGTGAGGATGACGGGATGCCAATCACTAACATCCATCGACGTCTTGGACGATGGGCAGAGTTTTTCGAAGGGCAGTTCAACTGGCCTGCTGCTCCGGCAACATCCGTCAGACTGTCCTGCCCTCCATGGCCGGTGACGACTGATCCACCAAACGAGGAGGAAGTCCGCAAGGAACTCCAACTCTTGAAGCGTTACAAACCACCTGGCCCAGATGACTTACCTCCGGCTCTTTTTAAAGATGGTGGTGACTTTCTGACTAAGGAATTGACAACGTTGTTTACAAAGGTCTGGGAACTAGAGAGTGTACCAACGTCATGGAATGAGTCGATAGTTGTCCCTATCTTTACGAAGGGTTCACGTCGTTCCTGCAACAACTAACGGGGGATAAGTCTACTTCCGATTGTGTCCAAGCTATTGGCTTCCGTCATACTTTGTAGGTTGTTCAAAACCCGAGAAAGATTGACTCGCGAGGAGCAGGCTGGGTTTCGTTCTGGTCGAGGATGTATTGATCATATCTTCACCCTCCGCCAAATGTTAGAACACCGCCATACTTATCAAAGGCCAACAATCGTAGTGTTTCTTGACATCAGGGCTGCCTTCGATTCGTTGGACAGGACTGTTCTCTGGGATTGTCTATTGAAGAAGGGTGTGCCTGAGAAGTTTATTAACATCCTAAAAGCCCTATATACAAACACCTCAGGCAGAGTGACGGCATACAACCACCTCTCTCCATTGTTCCATTCGAGCAGTGGGGTTAGGCAGGGTTGCCCAATCTCACCATGTCAGTAATACAGAGGTTCGGCATCGTGTGTTCGGGCACAGAGATGATAATGCAATTGGTGTCACCATCTTGAAACACCGACTTCGGTGGCTTGGACATGTCCTACGAATGTCGTCCCAGAGAATTCCACGTCGTGCATCATTTGCCGACTCTGGGACTGGTTGGAAGAAGCGGAGAGGTGGTCAGTGCATGACATGGTGTCGTGGTATGAAAGAAAGCTGCAAAGGACTGGCTCCTGTCGGTCCTTCACGGCTCCCTGGTTGAGGTCCGAGAGATGGTGCTACACAGTGGCTAGAGACGTTATCAGATATGGCTCATAATAGAAGCCAGTGGCGATCCTGCTGTAACCTTCTTTTACTTTCTTCATAAAAAGTGGTTGTGTCTCCCTTATCTGAAAGATTTCCGATTGTACCTTTCCGTTCCCTCGTTACTACCACACTAACTTACACCAATCTCTTCGTTATTGTTCTCTTTTTCTTTTGCGCTCCTTAGTTTTTGTTTTATATTTCTCTTCGAATTCTCATTGTTTTGTGTGGCGCAGATATATTGGCGCTCTTCTGTACCAATATTCATGTGTTCAAATAAATAAATAATGTCTTTGTTTTAATATATAATTATGTCTATTAATCGCACAAACTATTCAAGTGCATCTGCGTAAAGTTTACGACCTTTCGCTGTACAAGTTTAAAAAAAAGTACAATCTGAGACATCGTGGTGGCTGACAATTTACATTGTAAAGAAAGAACATTATTCAGATATCAATTCCTGAATTGCTAACATCTAACTGGAGATTACTCAATATTTATCGTTTATATCGATCAAGAAATAAGAAACGGAAACTCGTTGAAATACTTTGTGCTGAAAATTCGATATTGTACCAAAGCCACTAGTAATAATAGTAATAATAATTTTTGATAAATGATAAAAGCCCTGACAGAACAATTAATCATTAAAAAATAAGGTTGGTAAATAAAAGCCTCCACCAATCAGTACAGAATATGGGGCTTTTTTAAAATTCGAAATATGAGTTATGGTTTCAGAATAGCAAGAAAGTTAACTTTTATTTTATAAATTAGGTGAAAATACACTTTGTAATATATATTGTGAATAACGGAGCAAATAAATTAGTGAACATTTGAACAACGCGTAAAAGATATGGACCATTTAAGATATGATTTAGCAATAATTACTGCAGTATTCCAGCTTACCTCTTCTTGCATGATAGATTCTTGATTCAAATAATTAATACATACGTCTAGGACATAGGCGATAGATCGTTTAGTCTCGGCTAAATGATCAGGTAGATGTCGGCCAAATGTAGTAAGACATTTCTGTAGTCCTATAGTTCAGAAAAAAAACCAATGATAAATAAATGTATCGGGCTTGTACAGCAATCAAAAGGAAAAAGGACGATCTAACAGATAGAAATGATAGATTAAAAGTTTGTAGAAAAATATGTTATCGAAGGATAAAACAGGCACTAACGAACCCATTTAAAAGAAATGTGACAGATCTTCACAAAATATTAACTGTCCAACTTTTTGATACAAAAGAAAACGCATAAGCTTATGGAGTAAGCGAAGTTTAATTCCTAGGGTATTTTCCTATCTTAGCATTCACCACAATTAATAATTTAACAAAACCCACATTTATCAAGTACAAATTCACGTGTTCAGTTTCGACTTGTAATTTAAGTATGAGATCCAATGACACTGAGTCGTGTAATCGAAGTAAGGAAGGGTTCAAAACTTAAAGTCAGCTTTGATAAATTAAAAAACAAAATGTTTTAACCACCAAGTAGTTACGCCTTCCATACCTCGACTATCACAAGATCAAGTGAAAATTTAAATAAGTAAACAGGAAATGTTCTAAAATATATGTGGACACTGAATACCATAATGTATTCATAAGCTTTCACATTTGAAAAGATTCCGAATAATGATTTTTATTATTTTGATAAAAGTTCTTTTATCTAACTGGAAAATATTATGCGATTCAGTTGCGTATATGTCAAGTCAGATATGACAATACGTAAAATCTAAGGTTCAAAAAATTTTTCGTTCTTGAGTTGTGAAGACAGTTGAATCTCATGGACCGATCAATGTTAGAGTACCAATGAAAACTTGAAAACAGTGGACGGTCGATGGTCGTGCAATATAATGGATTGATTGATGTTAGACATTAACACTGTTGGATGTCGACTTAGTGGCCTAGAGGTTAAACGATCGAGTGCGAGACAGAAAGTCCTGTGTTCAGACCCTAGGTGTGGGATCATGGATGCGCATTGCTGAGGAGTTCAATACTAAGACGAATCGGTCATCCAATGCTTCTGGGTTTCCAATTGTGGTTTAACATTGACCGTTCATGAATTAAATGAAAAAAAATAACGAAAATTAAAATTGTTACAGCTTTGGATTATTCAATTGTTAATATATTTGGCTGAACTTTGATCGGTCTCAGTTGGTATTGTATACCCCGTGCGGAATGCCTTGGTGAAGCCATTATGTTACACGTTATTATATGATAGATGGGATGTAGTTCGAGGTAGAATATAGGATGCACTTTCCGTTTTATCCCATCTATTCTATGTAACATAAATATGTATCCTTTGATTTTGTGTATCAATTTTTTTTGAAAAATTGTTTTGTTAGTAAATGATGCCGTCAACTATGGATTTTTTTAACTGGGTCAGAATTATTTTTTTCAACGTTCATCAACAAGCATCTCGACCTTCAATAAGTGTGTTGTATAAGGTAATTTCAACCATTCTTCTGATTACTTAGAGGGCGTTTTGAGTATCGGTGTGTAATTTTCACTAAAGATTCCATTTAAAGCGTCTAGAGGAATCTGTAACTATCTAGATTGGGCATGGTAGTGAAGCTCAGCAAAATATACTGGATGAAGAGACAGTTATAGTGAAAATTACACTTTAATATGTAATGAATACTAAATGAACGAGAGAAAAATTCGAAGTCCAATGTGCAACACATTTACTGAGCGTTCATAATGGCGCGCATAACGTTGGCTAAATTTCGGTTCAATAGAAAACTTAACGACACAATAAACTGTTAGTTGTTTAAAAAATCTTCAGACATGGAGTATGGGGTAGGTGGTACAACGAGACATCAGAAAAAAAAGCATTTCAACCAAGCTAGGGTAATATTCAACTATCACCACAACAAAATACCAGCTATTAATAATCAGACTACGTTGTTTGAATGTCAAGGAGTTATAACTTAGTTGGCTACATAGTGAATAGACTTTTATTACAAATACGAGTTAAGTTCGTATTTAATTAATCGAAAAAAACTATAATCTTAATATATAAAATTCAAACTGATCAGAAAACATGCATAAAAAATATTTTGTCATGGAATAGGTAACATATTACATGGTTGTAAGTTTAAGAAAGGTTCGCTTGTATAAATATATTTTACATTATACAACTACACAATGATGGCGCACAAACACAAATACGTTATGAAAAAACGCGAAACATTACCGCCTATTATAAATAAAAAAATATATTTGTAATATTCCAATTAATTTATTTATAACAATCTACCCAATGCTCAATTTATTCGGAATTATCAAGTCAGACCTTGGTAATGATACCTACAAATTACCATCGATTATTAAGATATGACAAAATTAACAACAAAACTATGATTTTATTTATATGAGCTCAATGTTTAATTTTGTGCCTGATGTTGACAATAAGTTTCAGATTAAATGTTTGTTACCATATTTGTTTTTCAGCTATAATAATAATAATAATAATAATAACCGCGCAAATATGCGGAAATGTTGTAAATTTATTTAGTGTATATAAGAGAATTCGGAAAAAGTAGTTAGATATTTAAAATAATATACGTTAGATACAAATTGTGATCTGTAAAACTACAGCTTACGAATTTGTAAATTTTTATTACTCTAATGTTGACATTCAAGAATTGAATTTTAATCAGCAACTGTTGGTATCTATGAATTATGAATGAAAACCTTGAACCACGTTTATCGTCAACTTAGCGGTTACCCGGAGTAGACCAACATGCCTCAATGAGTTGCAAGGAGCCTGTAGAAACAAATACTTATAAACGGCCACCAAAATGATTCTCTCTTGTGCCTAAACGGCCGACCTGTGCATTCGAATTTCAAGCTAACACTACAATGCACTTTCTGAGAATCACTTAACTGGTGGCAAAACTGATCTTAGATTGCATCCGGACTGCCATTGGTCGGAGCACAGGCAGAGATAACGAGAATACATTATATTTTTCATCGACTTACCGCTATGATGGAGCTTCCTAATCTAACAAAGCATGATCGACTGTTAGTGGGGACTTAAATTAGTGCCATCTAAGCTCTAGTGCTTAGTGCGACACTAACACCAGCAAAACCGAACGAATATGTCACAGGATCCACGGATAAACGCACATATACCAAGCTTTTCGGGGCGTCAGATGGAGTGTGAATTTGTAGTACTTTACTAGATTCTTGAGTATGGGTCTCGGATAGATAGCAGAAATCCATGTTAAGGAATTCTAAAGGCAGCCAATCATGTCTGTAGTCCGATCTGCATTAGTATGCAAGCGTTGAATGAGGCCAGTTTGAATGGCATATGCAGTTTCAGAAAGCCCGATTCAAAATTCCTATTCGGGGGTAGCATTCGATTTACGACCAGTCAGTGACCTGAGATCGTTTGAATAGAACAGGTTTTCAACTACTGGCGAACTGATGTATGAATTGACAAATAAAGGAATATACAAAGTGGGGATGAAAAAGAATCGACATATGATGCAATGTAACATAAAAACGAATATTACCGAATAATTGAGTATAATTTATGAGAGGATTGAAACGAGAATAATTCTTTTGAGTTTTTAATTATCATTCAGTTTTTGTGTGGTATAGCATACTGTCCAAGTGACTAAACCGAAACAGTTGGTTTTATTAGAGGACCACTCCCCGAGCCTTTTACCCAGTGGTATAATCCACAATGTAGTGGAACGATGTTAAGAGATGCGGTTCCATGGTAGCCGGTGACCAACAATAGGTTCAAACGCCATTTGTTCCCTCAGGATCCTGGAGCCTATGTGCATCACTGGGTTGGAATAAGGATCTCCAACTCCCCAAGATGGATCCTCCGTACTCACTAACGCGATCTAAGTGCCGGACATTCGCTTTCTGTCCTCTTAATCTCGTAAACAACACTCCCATTGCAAGAAGCCAGTGACTATATACGCATGGCCATATGGGAGGATTTTGAAAGGGAAAGTGAACTCTTGCATTTGTTTAGTTACATGAAATAGGGAGTTAGTTTTACCGACCACCCATTTTCCACATCATCACCCTTTTCGAGTGACAGTGAATATACTAATCAAAATTCAGTAAAGTACATCAGTTATTAGTAGGTAGGATACAATGCATAGGGTGGACAAAGCTTTATCATGCATTATTATATTCCATTACAGTGTCGAAACAATAGCTCACTCACTATGTACGCCTGAATTTAAATATGGGAAAAACGATAGTGTGTTGACGGTTGCATATGTGTAGTAAGATAAAATTTAAACGAAGTGTATATTAAAATGACAACTTACTGATAGTTTGAGATATATCGGAAATCACTTTTTGAACCAACTGTAAACTATCCGATAAATAATTTTCTTGTAATTCAAAGTACTTAAGTATAAGGCGTGAATAGTTTTCTTCTTCAGCGGCGAATGAATACAGATCACGAAGTAATTGTTCCTGGATTTTTTGATAAGAACAAAAAAGGGAGATAAATAATCAACTTACAAATTTTAGTTGGGTGGAATTATCATTATTAACACTGAATTTGTACCGAGTTCTACACCAAACTGAAGCCAATAATTTGAAAGGAATTGTAAGTAGAGCCTTTGTCGAAATAAATGTGTTTAACACAGACTGGTCTTAAACAACCACTGAAAAACAAGAAGTGCTGAACAATCGTCTAGTTCTAGTATGGGACTACTCAGCAGTGACCACTTGTGGCCCCACCGAGAGTCGAATCCAGGACCTTCAGGCCTCGTAGTGAGCGCTTAACCTTGGGATCAATAATCCAGTTGTCTATATATCTAGTTTGAACCGATTATCGATATTTTCCACTCATCTCCCAATGACATTAATGGTTAACTACCTCACAGTCAACAAGGTTGAACTTCACTGACCACAGCTTCTTTGTAGGACTTCTGGAGATTATTTACTGGGGAGCACATGATTATCACTATTGTTAGTATAATTTATTGAATCCAGAATCAGCCGTCTAAAGGTTAAACGCTAGCTGAGAGGCCTTAAAGTCCTGAGTTCGACACTCCGTAGGGTTGTAGATGTTCATTGCTGAGGAGTCCCATATTTGGACGAGACGGCCGTCCATTATTTTTCAATCTCGGTGGTTATCTAACTCAGGTCATTCTGTGATACAAAATCTGAGACTATGAAATGATATTGGGACATAAAATCTATGAAAAGATAAAGAATGAGTGCACTTCTGGGTCTCTATAATTGATTTCTAACCGTATTACTACTTTCATACACTGAATGTTTGCCAGGAATACCTACAATAATTGAGCGTATCTTCCATGTCTGTCCTCGTTTCATAAAGAATTCCTACTTATTTATATCACTTTCTGACAAGTAACTTTGATTAGCATATACTACTTTGATTATATTGTTACTTTTTTATTTATTATTACTATTCTTTATTTTAAATACTCTTATGTATAAGATAAATATCGTGGTTGACTTAGTGTCTCAATACCCCTTCAACAATAGATTATACTAAATACTAGACTAAAATCTCCAATACACAAGAATTACTCTGCTTTCTTTACTTATTATGTAGTACACATATAGAACATGTTCAATTAAAGAAATATAAACTTTATGCTCTTAGAATGACAGCAAAACTGTAAGAAAAAGATTATTAATCACGAATTTAGGCGTTTTCAAAAGAAAAATAGACGTGGCGTAATATCATCTTGTTGCTTAGAGATTCGTAAGTTTTATAATTTACTTTAAGCAACAGCTGGGATATGAGACATCTACAGGTTTTCATTTACCCATGTAAAGCTCTCTATCCCTAAGTAGTAAGTACTAATCCCAGGATAGATCATTTTACTTAGTACTAATCACAAAACTATTACATAAAGTGTTCTAATAGAAATAAGTACTAAGTAAATAGGGAAAATGCATTCTCGTTTAATAAACTTTACAAAAGTATCAAAAATGCAATCGGAATTCAATATTCATAAATTCAATGAAATTAAACAATCTTCACAAAACCTATACTGTAAATATGTAAAGTTCCAGTACAACCGTTGATTAGAATAGTCTTTAAAAACTACAAATTAAAGGAAATTTTAATTATATTAGCTTGTTATTCAATTTGCATTAAGTCTGATACGGCTGCACACCAAAAATAATATGTGCCAAACAAATGAAGAGATTATATTGTGAAGAAATAAAGGATGGAGGGGAAATGCAAAAAATAACTGGATAAGAATAGTGTATGATGGATAGTTACAGTTCGGTTGAAAACACAACTAAGCAAGACTTTTCCTTAAGTAAATGAGGTTTATTTCAGTTTTGTGAAGAATTTAAAAAAAACCATGGCAGAATCGATATTAGCTTTTATACTGATCTGTGTTTGATAATGTCTTAAGTTATTGAGTTGCATCATCTCTAAGACCTCAATCAGAGGTTGAGATGAACCAACAGATTCCAGTTTTTCATACAACGGCATCAACTTATAACCAAGCAATCCTTCTGCTTTCTCCATAAAACCTTGGTTTACAGTAGATCTCTATTAAAAACATACGTTATCTAACAAATATTAACCCAAGTAGTTGTAGGAAAATTTAAGTGAAATATATATGTTTTAAGAAAGTAAAAGAAAACAATGAGTTTTCCATCCGTACTTTTGAAGATTCTAATTCACTTTTTTTCTCTTCTAATTGATGTTGAGCTTGACTAATTCGATTGACTGCATCAATTGTCACAGATGGATTACAAGAACCAGGATAACTTGAATTTGTATTTGTTTGTATACATTGCATAGTTTTTTGTAATTGTCCACGTGCATTACGAACATCTGTCAAACATTTTTGTAAATTACGTCGACCTTTTGTAATGTTGACACATGTTTCTTCAGTTAGACGATTTAATGGTTCAACAATTTGACGTTCTACTCTATTCTCATGATCTCGATGATATGTAGATAGAGTTAACAAAGCTTTACTAGCTTCACGAGTGACACAACTAATGAGAAAAATAAATAAAAAAACACCTTTTATGAATTATTTCTCAAATCTAAACGACTAGTCTCATAACAATCGGGCATCGAGTGTATGGTCATAAAATACTGTCAACGGTTTTTTTCACATCAGATCATACATCAATACACATACTTTACTTTTATTATTACAATTTAGCTACATGTTACTAAATAACCCATATCCATATTTTAATACAATCCGAATTTAATCACTCGGCATAACTGGACAGGCGTTTAGTATATAGCTGTGTTGTGAACACTGGGTATATTAGATAATTTTGATTACTTCCCTGAAGCTCGGATTAAAATGCCGAGTAAAATGTTGAAGTCATTTTTTGTTTTGATCACCGCGATTTTTAAAAAATATTATTTGATTTTTAAATACACTGCAACCCATTAGTAGATAGATAATATGTACAAATCACCTATTATTGATTATCAATCAGTGGTCGGATTCATTTTGAACAATGGAGTTAGATGAATTGTTTTACACTATAGATTGTCAATATACAGTATGTTCACCGGAGGCAAATGGTGCGTCAATGATAGTATGAACGTACACTACTGAATCTTTGGTAGTATTCTGACAGTAATCAAGGAACTAAACGAGTGTAGTTTAAATTATCAGTCTTAATGCTTGACTTAAATTTGTTTAAAATATAATAACCTATTAAACACAAATTTACGTATTCGGTTTTGAGCAAAACATTTTGTGTTACGGTTAGTGATAATATCAAGGTTGTCCAAAAGGAAATACAAGTCTTACGTAAAACCATGTCAAAACTTTATGTACAAATAAAGTTCATTAATAACTCATTTACCAGGCACAGACTGGTGTCGAAATTATGAAGAATATTTGTAGCTCTAGATGAGGATTTTGAAGGTATCGTGTTCTCTTGGCCGGACGGTTTGATCGTGAAGCTAATATTATCTTTCTCGACAGACTCTTGTCTTTGTAATGGGAGTAATGGCAGCTAGTGATACTATTAAGTCACTCGAGCTGAAAATCGAGCGATATTCAAGCTTACTACTTAGTGGCTGAAAGTCATTTGCATTATCCACTGAGTCACTATATATATGCATGGTAGAGCAACGAAAAGACAGATTTAATCTGAAAAATGTTACTTATTTGCTTTAGATGCATACGTATATACCGTCCCCTTTTATATCACAGCTAGACAACAACAGGGTAGCTAGCAAACCACAGTGCAATGTAGACCAGGTATATTCCATAAGTCAAATCTTTGGCGTCCGAGATTACCGATAAAACAAGAAAATCGAGTTGGGGTTTGTCTCCCTGACAACATTGGAGACTTAACTTGAGTATTTAAAGGAACAAACAAATACAAGAAAAGACACCGAGGTGATAGATTCACAAATAACATCACATAAGACATCTTGTGAAAAACTTCATCTGAAAGTGTTTAGAAATTAAAGTTATGGTCTATGCTCCTCCATGAGGGGTAACAGGCGTAAGTAAGTAAGTAATTAACCATCAATAGTAAGACTTTGTAGCATTTTCAGTCATTTTCGTTTAAAAAGGTTACAACTGGTTTTTTTCAAACATTGTGCATTGTTTATGAAAGGGTGGTCTTCGACCAAGAGGGAAAACTTTATTATGTCCACATAAAATGACTAGAAACCTTTATCAATAATGAAAGGGAAGAGTAGTGTTAAATGAAGCAGAATAAAGTTGACCAAATGATATAATCAGTAGTAACATGCACAAGAAGTAACAAGCTGTGAAAATTTTCCACAGATTGTAAAAATAAGTAACACTGACAAATGCATTTCATCTGAAACAAATAACAGTCATAAGGACGAAAGAATATTTGAAAGTTTTAGGTAAAAAAAAGGTTTACTTTATGGGAAATTAGAAAAGTAACATTCAGAATAGTACATCTATTATATTTAGTGACACATATGATCGTTCACAAATTGAACACTAACCAATCGAGAAATATTTTAAAAGAAAAAGTACGACATTGTAGAACATCACTAACATTGTTATAAAAAAAGAGGTAAGATTAAAAAAGTTCTATAGTTTTCAAAATGTACAGGAACAGGCAAAAATGATACTGTTGATATCTAGACCTAAAATGATGAGAAAGAAGCTTTAAATAATAAACACATAAATAAATAAAGTAACTACTGAAAGTGTTCAATAACTTATAACTATTCTTTTTATTTCATTGGAATGTTATGTTAATTAACTAATTCATTTTGTACGTAATTAATAGTATTTGACTTGGTTTACTCATATGTTATTAGTTAATTCTATCAGAATAAAAACAGAAAGTAAAATTAATGAGATAATCACAAATGTGATTTTATTCCGAACTGGTTTGATTTAATTTCTCTATCAAGTACAGACTGATAGACCTCCTTAATATATAGCCTGACATAGATGTGCACTAGCCTGTTGCCACACCTAATTAGCGGGATATGATGAAAATAACAAAGAGATAGAAATAATGTAGTATCAAAAATAAGCGGAGAGACTACACCTGGTTTGAAAATATAGAATGGAAGGATAGAATGAAAGGATACTGGTATTCAAGATCAAGAGAAAGGTAAAGAGCCCCCAAATGCCCTGGTACGGCCGAGAGTGAGGAGAGTCCGCTCTCCCTCTCGAAATGCTCTCACATGGCCACGCGTATATAGCCTCTGTCATGGAAGTCCTACTCACTGCCTTCTGACACCACGGGTGTTGTTTACGAAAGTGAGAGGACGAAAAGCGAATGTCCGGCGCTTTAACCGGGTTGGTGGACATGGAGAGTCCACCTAGGGGAGTTGGAAAACCCTGATCCCAAACCAATGGTGCACATGGGCTCCAGCATCCGGAAGGAACAAATGGCGTATGAACCAATCGTTGGTCACCGACTACTATGGGACTGCATCTCCTTACGTTGCTCCACTAACTTGTGGATCAGACCTTCAGGTCGAAGGCTCCAGGTGTGGCTTCCTAAGAAAATCACCTGCTTCGGTTTTGGCATCCGGGCAGTATCACAGCCCTCACACATATCGAATGAGGTTTGTGTGGCGTATATGTATTTGGTGCCTCCTTATACCAATATCTATGTGTTAAAATAAATAAAAAAGAGTGAATGCATCTGAGCTATGTTACCCAATGTCACCAAACACTGAAAACCATTATCACGCGAACCTCAATCAAATAGTCTGCAATCACCGAAATGGTTCAAAGCAAGAGTCAATTATTTAATAGATTGATGCTCCTAACTTCCTTCCAACCTACTTCTTCACTAGCAAACATCGCTCGTTGAGGTAGGCGGTGGTTAGGCACACGTAACACATGTACCAAATACCTCAGTTTGTGAAGATTCATTACCTTATCAATCTATTTACCATATTTACCGAGTACCCCATGTCTAACACTCAATCACGACAGGAGCACAAGCTTTCTTGTACACTCGGCTTGTGGAGAACTGTTGGTGTGCGAGTGTTAGCGAAAACTTATGACTACCCAAATCGAGGTGTTGTGGGGTTCTAAGATGAGACTTAGTAGTCGAGTACTTTAATCACTAAAACATTGCCCTACTCTAATTTACATGCTTCCTAAACAAATCTTTAATTAAGTAATCTTCATAGTTTTAAAATAATGTCTACTGTTGATTTTTAAGCCATGTACAGTGAAAGCTTTACATACTTTCTAATTGTTTTCTAGTTCATAGAGATTTTCTACTCTTGAAACCCTTATGGAAGATAGAAGGCAATAAATATTGAAGTTTACCTTAAAGTTAAGAGGACATACAGAAAAGCATCCATAAAATGATAGGTAGTCTTGAGATTCTAGAGTCTTCCACAGAAAATGTTAAAATTGGTAGCAAATTCGACAGTTTTACAATCAGAATAAGAAGAGGGCAATTAATCATTCTCTTAATTTTTCTTGAAAGTTTTCAAAAAACACCTATCAATCGAAGTATTTTCGGTCCTTTCCCTAGCTTCTACAAAATTATCGAGGACACTCAACACTCGTTTTTTGACATGGCTTTGGAAAATAAATTCCTCGGATTTATCTGAAATTTTTAACAGATTTTTGACAACATTTCATCTTCTGATGTGTTGGAATATTTTAATCATACTTTGCCTATTTGGTTCTAAGAATAGACCGAGTTCATTAAAAAAGCGTCCAGTAGAGTGCTTAGTGGAAGTGTCGCGGCAACATGTGTTTATTTTTTTATCTCATCGGATTAGACTCATATGCCTTGTCCAAAAGCACCACTAGTATTTGATCCTAGAAGATTAATGTTATACGTAGCGCTGCTAATTGTCAAACAACAACTTAAACGACTTAAGAAGGTTGGTGCTATCGGCCCACTAACGTTTTTAACACGGGCTACATTAATTACAGTTAGAAAACCTAAGGGTACTGTCCACTTGCTTGCTGACTATTCAACCGGACTTCATGCACTTCCGGAAACCCATCAGCATCCATTACCATCGTCGGAAGACTGTTTGACAAAATAACTGGGTAAAAAATTTCTCAAAAGTTGGATTTATTTAAAGCTTATCTATATATCCACGCAGCTGGAGAATGAAGAGAAACGCTCACTATCAGTACACACAAAAGTTTATTTCAGCATAACCGAAAACATTCGAGGATAATAAGGTACTCTCAATTGTTCAGTGAGTAGTGGATAATGTAATAATCATGGGAGCAGATCAAGTACATTTATGTGTAGCTGTATAAGGGTTTCGACTTCATAAAGAAAAATGTGTTTTCTACATGTGACAAGTACGATGCCGGAAATTCATAGTGGATAAATACGGAGAATTTTCAGATTCAGTGAACATTAAAGCAGTTAAGACAATATCTAGACTGACAGATGTCCCTACCTTACAATTTTTCGAGAACTTGTTAGCCATTATAGGAAAATTAGCTGTAAAATAACTACTGAAAATCAGGGACGATTGGATAGAATTCTCAAACCGAAGCAAAACAGCTATCAATCCTATTTAGTTT